CCCTCAGTTCTCTCCTAAGTCAGCAGTTTCCAGTTCTGGTTCCTTGTTGGAGTCACCTGGGGAGCTTGTAAAACTAGTGTGACGCCAGGGTCCCTGTGCAGGCTAATTAAGAATCTCTGGGATGTGGATCCTGAGTGCTGGCATTTTAAATAAACCCCATGGGATGTATTTAAAATGCCACAGGAGAATTCTTGGCCCAGAGACCTTCCAGTCAGCAAGAGGCAAAGCTGGATTTCGCCACCCCCTTCTCGTCATGGCTACTGGTGATTGGCCACCTACTAGGTGCGTGGCCCGGGGTGGGTGCACGCATGAGACTCAGCACACATTTGGGTGATGCCACCTATGCACCAAGTACTGTGCAGAGGGTTTTTCATGTGACAGTTCATTTCATTTCCCTAACAGCTCTATGATACGGGAACTATTATCACTCCCATTTTATAGACCAGGAAACTGAAGCACAGAGAAAGGAACTTACCCGAAGTCCTGCAGCTGGGACACAGTAGAGCTGGGAACTTCACCCAAGCAGTGTGGCTCTAGGGCCCGGCTCTTATTTAATCCTCACAACCGCTCTGTGACATTTTAAATGTAAAGAACCATGGCTCAGAGAGTCAGGAGACTTGCCCAAGGTTATACAGCCAGGATGCAGCCCCAGGTCAGTCTGACTCTCAAGTCTAGCATGCAGGTCCCAGGAGGGGAGAGCTTTTTGATCCCGTGTGTCCTTATTCCTCCTAGAAAGCAGCCTTGGGGGCAGTGGGGCAGATGCAAGATCAGAGCTATGGCAGAGTTCAGCCCTCTGCTGCCCGTGAATGACTTTAAAGTGACACATAGATAGCACACGTGGCAGCCACCCTTAGAGGTGCTTTGCATGTACTGGCTTGGCCCTTGAAGAAACTGTATGAGGAAGGGGGCCCCTCCTCTTCGCAACAAAGAGCTGAAAGTTCAGCGACTCAGCCAAGGCCGCACAGCCGCTCAGTGCTGAGCTGCGACTTGAACTTGGGCAGGCTGGCTTCAGAGTCTGTGCTCTCCTCCCTGCACCGTACCCCTCCCGGCTGCCTCGCTTACTCGGCTGCTGGAAGCTCAAGCTTCCTCTCTATGAAATGGGTACACTAGTGCCTATCGCATGCAGAAAATTAGAGGACAAAACAAGAACCCAAGTGCCCAGAAAGACCCTAGGGACTTTGGACCCCAGCAACTGTGCATAGTAGGCACTTGAAGAGAGAGGTCGCCGTACAGTCATGACGTCACCCCTTCTGCAGCCAGCCTGGAGCCAGGCACACAGCAGGTGCCAATCTAACATGTGACGTGGACAAAGCTGGTGCCGTTTGGAGGTTGCTGGGCTGCAGGTCCTCCCAAGCGGTGCAGGGCCCCGGCGGCCCCTTGGGAGCCTGCACTTGGCGTCAGCACCTTTGAATGCCTAGAAACCGCCTGCGTGAGTCACCGCTGATCTTCCATTAACGTGCAATTGCTATTGCAGGCGAGGAGCTGTGTTCTCTGGGGTCAGATTTACAGCAGAGCAGGAAATAGCCAGGCAGCAGGCGTGCTGGAGATGGGAAAGAGAAGGGGCTAGCAGGAGGCTGGGAAGAGATGACGCCTTCAGAGAGGAAGGCTGGATCCATGGGTGAACTTGCAACGTGACATTTCAGGCCCAGAACTCATTTTATATGGTCTGCCCTGCTGTCCCCACCACACATGCCCAGGAAAGGCCACATTTCCTAGGAGGATGTGACAGTGCATCCACAGAATGGGCAGTACTGGTGTGAAAGACTTTCTTATGATTCCTGTACTGTTCTCCATGTATGTGTGATATCACTGACATTTGCAACAAGTCATCAAAGACTCCTGTCTGGAAGGTGTGAAGGCGCCTTTTAATTTCAAGGCTCTAGCTGCCTCTCCTGGGCTCTGAGCGCCACTCGCACTACTAGGTGTGTTGTTTGTCACTCCAGCCCTTCAATGAGATCTCCAAATGTGCACACAACATTTGCTGAGCGACCCATTCTGTCCCTTGTGCTCTTCAAACATGCCTTAGGAGTTAGGGAAAATGATGGTGCCTCCACTGTGCCCTATTTTCTCCTGCAACCCCGCTGTGGCACGAGCTGCTTCCTCTGCTGGGGTGCTCTTTGTCTAGCACCCTGGCAAATCTCTCCTGGTCCTTAAAGACTCAGCTCAAGTATCACTTCTTCTGTGAAAATTCCCCAGTGGGAAGTCTAAGTCGATGAGAAGGCTTGCAAGAGCTCTTTGAATTATCTTCTTTCACGTCTGCATTCCCAGATCAGCCTTGGGTCCATCCATAAGGAAGCTCACGCAGCAGAACAGTGGCTCTCGACGTGCGGTCCCTGAACCGGCAGCCTCAGCTCCATCAGCACCTGGGACCTTGCTGGAAACGTAGATTCTCAGCCCCATCCCAGGCCTCCTGCAGCAGAGTCTCTGGGGCAACAGGGCAGGCCGTCTGTCCTTTAGTAACCCTCCAGCTGGCTCTGAGGCATGTTCAAGTTCGAGAACCACTGTGATGGGGGATATGGTGACTTCGTGCATGACTAATCCAGAACAAATAATACAAAAAACAACCACAGCAAACACCATCTACAGGACTATGTGCTGGACACATGCTAGGTGCTTTGCCTACACTAATGCTCCACAGCAACACATGAGGAAGATGCCATTATACCCATGATATAGATGAGAAAACAGAGGCTCAGTTTCTTATTTCCCTAGCAACCATCTGGTAAGTGGTGGATCCAATTGCAAACCGACCACTGTCTCTCTGACTACAAAGCTAGTGTATTACCTGCAGGGCAAGCTATCCTTGCCATTTGGATGTTCAAAGGAGAGAGAGACCATATCCAAGTCAGGCTTTTCCTGAATTTTGTATTTTCAAAGTATCATTTTAAAAGATCAAATAGTGCTTAAAAAAAAAAAAAAAGCAAGCTCTTATTCCTCCTGCCCTCCTCTCATCTCTGCTCTTAGAAGAGACTACTTTCAACTCTTTTAGCTACTCTTTTGGGTATTTACTTTCTTACTTTAAAATATTGGTGCCTTTAAAATATTGGTACCTCTTGTTTTACCCTTTTAGACTCAACCCTTAGACTTACACTGGATGAGGACTTTTGACCATGTAGACCCCCACCCTAGGACCACCATGCAACTTTAGGAGGCATCGTTCACCTGTAGGCATCATATATTTGCATATTTATTTTGACAATTTTTCTTCCAATGGCAGCAAACTTCTTGGGATTCCATTTCTCTAGTTGCCCAGAGGTGCAATAAGGGATAGCAGCAGATTTTCCCCGCTTCCATCCCCTCCCAACATAATTAAATCTGCATTTTTTATTAAATCCATAGTCAATGTTCCATAATTATGACCAGATAGATATTACTCACACCTGAGCCAAGGTTCAGCTATGCATGGTTCAGCTATAGCTACATTTCCTTTCTTGGACTTTTTGTCCAATTATTATGGCCCTTGTCACCTGGCTCCTGCAATGTCCTTTTTCTGAGTTGCCTCCTTATACAATGCACTAGAATCACCATAAATTCCATTGTTCCATAATGAGTTCCCCTGAAGATTCCCCACTGCCTTAGTTCTTCCTGTGACTCTATGAAATTACCAGCATCATCCAACAAATTCATATTATCAATTTAGGTTGTAGTATGCTTTAAGTGGCTTAGATAAGAGAGAAGCTTTGTTTGTTCGTTTTTGGTACTTCACAAGAGACTAAAATCCAGAAGCAAGTCCAGGGCAGGCATCAAAGGTCCACAACCATCAAAGACCCAGGCTCCTCTACCTTGTTGCTTCACTGCTGTTAATACTATGCTCCCAACTCATGGATCAGTACAGCTGCTTGAGCTCCGACCATCATGTCTGCATTCCAGCCATTAGAGAAAAGAAGGCACTCCTACTCCACATAAGGACACTTCCTGAAAGGTGCACACACCATTTTTATTTCCACACCTATGTTCACAGCTCAGACACACAGCTATGCTCAGCTGCAAGAGAGGCTGGGAAATTAGTCTCCACAAAGTTCAAGCCCCGGATCGTGGATTCCCCAACCCGCGGTGTTGCCCTGAGCGCGAGGCCCGAGGAGGCTCACTGCAGATCCACGTTCCAGCCAGGCTGGCGGGACGGAAAGGGAGGGAGGTCACATTCCTGCCTTGGAAGGCACCCCCCGGAAGGTGCCACCTCTCTCCTGCTCACGCCCGTGGTCCACAGCTAGTCGCTGGCCACTCTCAGAGCGAGGGGGCTGGGAAAGGCAGTCATACTCTGAGCGGCCCGTCCGCAAGCAGGAGGACGGCTACGGGGGAATCCGGGAGTCTCCGCCACAGGTGGCATGTGGCAGCGTAGAGAATCGCTGGGAAGCTGGGAAATCAGGCTCAGAAAACTGGGAGGAACCAGAGGTGGCCACGGGGCAGGACCCACAGCCGCAACACGCTAATGGACCGGCGGCCGGGGCATGTCACCACTGCTGCCACTGGGAAGGGCCTCCCGTCTGTTCCCACATCTTTGCATCAGGGTGCAGAGGGGCAGCGTTCTGCAGGAGGAGGCAAGGCCCGGGCCCGGCTGCTGGGGAAGAAGAGGGCGCTGAGCCCACCCACACCACCGGCGACTGGGAATTCCTCCCCCAACGCCAGGGGAGTTGGATGCCTGCCGGCATGTGCCACCCCCAAAGCCAAAAGCAAATGTCCATGCCATATGTCATTTTGTCCTCAGCCATCCAGTGAGTGCATCCCATCGTGAGCATTCAAGAGGAATCGAGGAGCATAATCAGTCACGTGTGCCAATCGCTTATATAGAGCTTCCTAGGAGCCAGGGCCGGGGGCGAGCAGTAGGTAGACATTAACCCTCTCCATTTGTCTCAGCTCGGAGCAGCCATGTAGGAAGCCCCCCTAGGGTCCCCTCGTTAGAGAGGCACCGGGAGGGAAGGGAGGGAGGAGCCAAGCTGGGACTTGGAACCCCGGCGGTCTGGTTCACCCCCACAGCCACAGTAATGCCATGCTGACAGGTGCGGGCGGCGGCCGGGGAAGGTGCGTTCTGACACGAGGCCCCCGCCAGGCCTCCCCAGTTTTCAGTGAGGGACATTAAACCCATGAACGCTTACGTGAGCGCTTGTTCCTGCTGCCGTTCCGGAAACCAGCAGATGCCGCGTCAGGGCCGGTGAGGCACAGTTCCGAGGAAGCACCTCCAGGAAGCCGGGGCCCAGGGGAAGCGAGGAGGCTCCGAGAGGTGAGCACTTCCCCTCGCCTCCCCGCCAGCCCCCTCGGGGAGCGAGCAAACACAGGAGAAGACTTTGAACTTCACTGGGTCTTGGAACAAAGGGCATGAAGACCGTCTCGTTTAGGCTTTAGAGGCAGGATGGCCAACAGCTGCCATCTGGGCCACCATCTAACGCCAGCATGCGAGGGGCTCAGCCTGCCACCCTTGTAGAGCCTCCACACACGCACGGAACCCCCTGGATCTTCAGCCATGGTCATCACAGATTTGACTTGTCGCTGCCTGCCAGTCCTGTCCCGTGTTCCCACAGTGCTGCAGGCAGGAACAAACAGCTGCAGCCATACAGCAGAGGCTGAGGAAGGAGAAGAACTGCACGCAACATCCACAGTATCCCCTGTCTTCCCTGGGGCGCTGGGCCCGGGACCCCCACTGGGGGCCTGGCTGACCCTGGGAGTGAGTGGCAGGCTTTGGGGAGCCCTGTACCAGACAGAGCTGTGCCTGCTGCAAAGACACCCCTCCCCCGCCAGGCCACGCCTCGAAAAGAGCTGGCATGCCAGGAGCTCAGGTCCTCAGAGGCCTGCTGCCATCCCCTGCATCAGGGAGGCCCAAAGTGTCACCAACTGAGTCACCCATAACCTGACACCACTTATCACATCCCCAGGCCTGAGGGGACCCCACCCCTCATCCCCTAAAAACTCACAGGCCAAGGGGCAGCAACTATTGTGGTGCATCTCATATATAATTACTAATTTTATTATCATTATCATTATTCCAGCTGTCATTGTTAGTATTTGTGGTGGCATATTAGGCACCCAACGTTTGCTACCTTTGGCCCTCCCTCGAGGTGTGTCCCGTCCCCATCCTGCAGATGGAGAAATGGAAGCCCAGAAGGATGAATGGATGGCCGGGCAGTTTGTAAAAGGCAGAACCAGGACGCTAGCACCTGCCCGGTGCTGGCAGGAGAGCCCCTCGCTACCTAGAGCAGAGAATGCCTCGCCTTTCTGGGAGCAAAGCAGCCACTTGTGAGGGAACCCGGGGGACACTGCTGTTTCGGGGAGGGTTGATGGATTGACCAGCAAAGCTGTGTCTCCTTGAGGTCCCCCTGCCTGGGTCTCTCGGAGACACAAGGGAGGCTTCTCATTGGGCCCCGATACAACAGGGTGTCACGACTGAATTCCAGCAGTCCTGGGAGAAGGTGACAGCAGCAGCCCAGCTGGAGGCACCTCTGAGAAGCCATGTTTGCGTCACGTGATACCTTGTATCATGTGACCGTCTACACCTGATTGGACCGGGGCGGACAGCTAATCCAGGGGGAGCAGAGTACCTAGATTCCCAGAGAAGAACGGATGAAACGAAGAAAGAGGTATAGAAGAAAGAGCACACTGAAGAAGGAGAGGGAGGAAGCAAATTAAAGGGGATGCTTTCTTGGTCCCTCCCAGGGCCGGGCTCTGTGAGGGCCAGCACCATCCTATTTCCGTGATGTTTGTACCCTCCCCAGCCTGACCTGAGCTATTTTGAGTGGTTTGTGTTCTTTGCAACTGAACCATCTCTAACTAACAGGAAAATGGAATGGACTTGCGAACCACAAGCTCTTGGAGGAAATAGGAGCCATCTATGGATCAAAGCCAAGGCAGAGGCAGTGGAGATTGTGGCGAGCTGCTTCATGGCCATTCACACCTCCCATCCCAGTTCACCCTCCTGTCTGTGACACACTTGTGCAGAGTGTCCCAGCCCAGGGTGCAGTCTTCTCTCCATCCCCTTCAGTCTCGGCTGGTCTCGTGACAATAGAATCTGGCAGGAGGGAGGTTGTGTGATATTCGGAGCCCAGGCCTCAAGAGACCTTTCAGCTTCTGCCTTTGCCTTCTTGGAACACTACCCTAAGCCCGCCCAGGTAAGGGCGCCCAGGTTAGCCTCCTGCAGCACGAGAGGCCACGTGGAGGAGAACGGAGGCCCCCAGCCCAGAGCCAGCGCCCACTGCCCGTCCTCCAGCTCAATGCAGTCCTGTGTTTGCGTTCAGCAGAAACAGCAGGGGAACCGTTCAGACATGAGAAGTTCTAGATTGTTGTTTCAAATTAAGTTGTGGGGTAAGTTTGACACTGTGGTTGATGGCAGTTTCAGAAATGGGTACCTGCAAGTGGGCTGCCTCCGTGAGCAAGAGCTGAGCCCTGTGCCTTGGCTCTGGGACGCAGGCGGCAGGTGGGGGCTAAGCCACGGGGAAACCGTCCGTGAAGGCCAGACTAGGTGGGCTGTGAGCAAATTGCCATTGGAGGTTGAGGAAAGGGTGACTCATATCATGTCGTGGCAGGACAATTGGCAAGACTGTCACCCAGAGTAACCTGGGAGAGCGAAAATGTGCCACATGAACTCAGGGATCTGCCTAAGGAGATCTCCAAGCAGAACCTGGAAGGAGCCTATGGCTCCTTTTAGTTGTGTATGATAAGGTAGGGAAGGGGGAAATGAGCTAAAGGGAAAACCATTTTGTTTGCAAGCAGAACTTAGAGGCAACGTGAAGGAGCCAGTCATGCTGAATTGGAAAATAAAACTGTTTCTTCTCCCTAGTCTCTCCTGGAAAAAGATTTGAGTAAACAATGACCTCAGGTTAAGATAGAATCAAGGGTGTGAACCTTTGTTAAGAGCTGGAATTATTTCAGGCAGTGCCTGGTGGTGCCTCACAGCTGTTTAAAGGGGCCTCTTAGAATCTTGTAAGTATTGAGCTAAGGCAGCTTGGCGTGCCCACGTGGAAAGAGATCTGTCTCAAAGAAAATTATGTGGCTTTGGGGGCATTGAGTGCCCTCAGATGTGATTCACAGGGAGCCCATAACATTTGAGGGAATTGTATTAATAAGAGTATCACTCACTTGGACCAAAAGAGACTGAGATAGTTCAAAATGAAAAGAGTTTTCTGGGTCTCCGAATTTACGAGCAGGAGGAAAACCAAGAAAGCTAGTCGGCTGCAGAGATCTCCTATGCAGGAGGAGAATCTCAGAGCACAGAGCGTGGAGCCAAGAGCTGGAGAGGGCAGTGAACTGGGGGCCGCCCCCAGGAAGCAGAGACAGGCCCCAGGCAGGGAGCACCTCCTGTCCCCAGAGTAGGGGGACCGGACAAGATGGGCGTGGGTGGATTTCAGAATTGCTATGGGCCAGCGATCGCTGTGTGCCTAAGGTTCCTCCCTTTTACAGACTGCGCCTATCATGTCTCACCATTGTTCGTTGGGTGTCTCCGCTTTAAGATAACTTGTGTTTCTTAGTTCACAAGTGTTTGCATGAAGAGGAGCCTTGCAGACGTCCAGACCTGATCTAGACTCGAGCCCGCTGCTGTGATTGGGGTAAGACTCACGGGGCGTTGGCACCAGGGTATACATAATTTGCCGTGGAAAGAGAGTGAATAATCCGGGGCCAGAAGGCAGATGTAATAAAATTTATAACGGCTGCAAATTCCTCCCATCCCAATACGTCCACCGCTTTGCAGGCGACTCTGCCGAGTCTCCCACTCAGGGGGGGAGTCTGTTTTCCCAACCCCTCTTATCCAAGCTGGCCTTGTGACTTGCTTTGACTGACAGAATCTGGTGGAAGTGAGATCGTGTGAGTTTTGGGGGGCTAGACCTCAAAGAGGCCTTTCGACTACTGCCTTTGCTCTGTGGGAACAGACATGAGGTGCGAAGCTCCACAGCAGCCATCTTGTGACCATGAGACCTCACGCAGAAAGAGGAAAATAATAAAGCTAAGGATGTCCAAGGAGACAGATTGTAACTCTGGGCTTCCGATGCCATTGCTGAGGTCTGAACTACCACTCCGATCACCTGCTTTAAGACGGGAAACATAACCCCTTATTTGCTAAGGGCCTAAGTTTCAGGCATTGGGTCTCAAAGTCTGGCACCCATCTGAACAGCGTCATCAGCATCCCTTGGGGACTTGTTGGAAAAGCAAATTCTTGCGCCCCACCACGGTGTGTGGGATCAGAACCTCTGAGCTCTCTGGGTTTTGACATGTTCCCCAGGTGATTCTAGCGCCCGTTGCGGTTTAGGAACCGCTGGCTCAAGTGCCTGGTTAACGAGCCTGGTACTCATTCACTCACATCCGGGCGCAAGTTTCACTGACACCACATCCCTGAGCTTTTGCTCAAAGCTTTTTCTCTGCTTAGAACACCCAATTTTCCGCTTCTCTGCCAGTTTTTTTCATTAAATGAATTAATTTCAACCATAGAAACCCCAGAAAGACAGAAAATTCAGCTGCTGCAATTTGGAAGGTGCACCAGTATTTTCTGGATTTGGTCTCAGCAGTCTTAGAGGGCTGGAGACAAGCAAAAAGCTACAAAATTGCCCTATTTAAAAACTTCGTTTGGTTCCAGCTGGAAACCCCAGAATTAGCTTGTTTGTCTCTCCCTCTCCCATGAGACCAGGAGCGATCAGCACCCGCTCGCAGCCACGGGGCGCCTGGGCTCCCCTCGCGTTGGGGTCACAACCTGAGCCTGCAGCTTGTCCCCCGTGGGCTGCTGGTGTGCAGAGGAAACCGTTGCTTCCCTTGCATTTTTCTGCACAATGAACCACACCAAACCGTGGTCGCTGAAAACGACAACAATTTGTTATTTGCTGATTCCGCAGTCGACTGGGCAGCTCTTCCACCAAAGAAGGTCGGCGGTGGGTTGGGTCTCGGCAGTGCTGTGCCCTTCCCTCTCCACGTGGCCGTTCAGCCCAGTTTCTTTCTGGCATGGTGGTCTCAGGCAGACTGTTAAAGGAAGGACCAGAGGAGACCATGATCTGTGCAGTAGTGGGGTTTGAATTATCAGGAATGCAAAGCTTTGCTTGAAAGACAAACGCCCTCCCACTACTGTTTGCTCCCTCCTCGTCCCACTACATTGTCCGACCATGTCACAGGCCACCCCCAGCTGTGAAAGAGGCTGGTGATTGAGCCTGCAGCTTTCTCACCTCTGTAGTAGAGGCAGGCGGGGAAAACGGGCGGGAAGATGAAGTGCGGTGTGTCCCTGGCTTGCCAAACAACGGTCTCTGGCCAACAAGCCTGGAGTAGTCCCGTCTTGCTGGGGCCGAGTGGAGGATATCACGGCACCTGGTAAGTAGGTATGTGGGAAGGCATGTCAGAGGTGGGTGCAGAGGAAGCAACGGGCTGAGGCCTCTTCCTGCCAGTTGGATGACCCCAGGCGAGTCACTTTGCCTCTCTGAATCTGTTTCTATGAAAAAAGCAAGTTATCACATTGAGTCGTTGAGAGCATTAAGTGAGATACTATGTACAAAAGGGCCCCTAATGGACCCCTGAAGGGTGGGACGGAATCGGGGCATGCGGCTGCACCAACAGCCACCAGGGACGGAGGGCTTGCTGTGGGTGGGGCTCTGTGCTAAACCCTTTGCGTCCTTTTCTCATTTCCTTCCCGTAACAGCATTCCCCTTCTTCAGATGGGAAAACTGAGGCTCAGAGGGCCTTTGTAAGTCCCGGGTTGGTAAGCAGAGAGCACGGATTCAAACCAGTTCTGTTGGGCTCCGTGCGTGTGGCCCTACCCACTCCTTAAAATTGCTTTTACAGGAAAACAAGCCAATCGGAGCCTCCAGTGCCACCGTCCTGCCCTCGCGGGGCCAGTAACTCAGCCGAAGCCAGGCTCTGGAAAGTCTACCCATCGCCTCTGCCGTCCCCAGCCCTCAGCTGGAAGGCGCCCTCGGGCGGGAGCCAGCTGAGCCAGCCTCCCCCCACGGCCTCCCGAGCAGCAGGAGTGGAGTCCTGCCAGGTTAGCAGAGCGGCTTCCAGTTAGAAGTCATCTCCTGCCCGGGCGGGAGGCAGCAAGCAGGCGGGCGCAGTGGGGCGCGGCAGTGAGAGGGTAATTAGATGTGGCTGTGGAACAGCTCCCTTAATGAGCAGGCTGCTCCGCGGGAGGACGCTCGGGGAAGCGTCCTTTCGGGCACCTGCCGCCACCAGCATCTTGCCCTGCGCAGCACGGGGAGGGAAGAAACAACGCGCACTCTCGGTGGCCGGGCGTGCTGGCCACAGGGCTCCTTCACCCTCATGACAGCCTTCTGAGGGCGGGCCGAGGCTGGGGAGGGAGGGCCTGCTCCTCCCCTGCAATCCGCCCGAGGCTGAGGAAGGGGCTGAAAGGTCTGAATCCCAGGTGCGCCCTTTCTCCTCCGGGCCCCATGCTCTCCGTCTGCTCACGTCTCTGGCACTGGAGCACCTGGCGGGCACGCGTGGCTGACCCCGGGGACACTGTTCGATCCTTCTCGGTTGGTGTGGCGGGGCTGCGAGCACACCCAGCCTTCTGGAGCACCGAAGCAGGGCCCGGCTGTGCGAGCAGCCGCCCCTTGGCTGCCGGACCGCGGGAAGGGCCAGAGGCTCTCAGGCTGGGGTGGCTGGGACAGCGGTGGTGGCAGGAGCTCTTCGTGGGGGGGATTAGGGGAGCAGCTTTTAACCAACTAGCCTGGACGAACTTGGGGTTTTAGTGACCTGCGTCACCGCGATAACCAACACATTTTGGCAGAAGCTTTGCGGCCACCGGGTCTGCCCTGGCAGGGTGCTCACCCTCTCGGCCAGAGGGCGGCCCCCAGGGGGCTGCTACTGCCCTCCACGAAGCGCACCCTCCCCGCGCCCCAGAACTGGCACCGGAAGCCCAGGATGCGTGACTCATGCCTTCTCCCCAGAGCACGCCGGGAGGGAACAGAGACTTCCCAGGCAGGAGCGGCAGCCTCAGGGAAGCCCCCATCTGGCTGAGGCAATCTGTCCATCTGGAAAAGGGGGGAATGCGCCAAACCCTACGGCAGCTGTGCCCAAAGTGAGTTCTGCAAACCCAAACAATCGGCCTCAGGAAAGAGGGTTCCCTCAGGAAATCTGTTTGGGAAACACGGCATGCCCCGCACCCCTCTGGGGAGTCGCAGCCCGGGAGGAAGGCTGGTTAAAGGGGCTGAGCAGTCCCAGGTAGAAAGGCCTTTGGGCTTCAGTTAGCCTAACGCTTTCCAGCCACATTTGACCGCAGAGCCTGTCTTTGTTTAACCCCACGGGCACCAGAGGGCACGGGTCCACCTTGGGCTGCAGCTCCGGGAACACCGTGCGGCAGAGTCCCTTCCTCCGGCCCAGCCGCGCAGACTTCGCCTCTAGCGCCACTGAGGACAGGTCTGCGTCCTGCTGGCGGAGGGAGCGAGTTCTGGGGCAGTGGGTGCCCGTCCGAGCCCCAGGGACCCCAGAAGGGCTCTTTACTCCCCTGTAGTGTCTCCCTCCGTCAGGTAACCAGAGCCAATCCGCAGGCTGGGGACTGGAGCAGGGCCGGCCCTCCCGCAAGGTGGAGGAGAGGTCTGAGGCGACAGCTGGGCCCCTGAGGCCACAAACAGCCCTGTGACCCGCCGTGCGCTTGTGTCGCCCTGGACTTGAACGTCAGAGCCCTGGACCCCTCACCGTGTCTGCAACCAGGAAGGGAGCCCTTACCCGGAGAGAATCTGCCGGCACCTGGGTCCTGGACTTGCAGCCTCCAGAACTGTGAGAACTCCTGTTGTCTAAGCCACCCAGCCACCAGCATTTTATTACAGCAGCCCGAGCTGACTAAGTCCCTTGGTCCCAAGGACTCTGAACTGGAGCAGACATGGCTCGAGTACGGGCTCCACCTCTGACCCGCTGTGTGATGTCAGCTAGTCGCTTAACCTCTCTGAGCCTTTGAGCCTCATTTTCTATCTTTATAATTGGATGGTAACAATAGCTATTGTTTCTGGAGTCCTGCTCTGTGTCAGGCATGCTATTATCTGCCTTATTCAATGCTTAAAACAACTCTGAGACGTAAGCGTGGCCGTGATTGACGTAAGCACGGATGCTTCCCCATGCCCGGCACGAAGCAGGACTGGAGAAACAATAGCAGTTGGCGCTGAGCCCGCACGGCTACTTGACAGCCTCCTGGTCCTTGAGCTGCGTCTCTAGACCGATAGCGCCCACGTGCATTTCTCCTGCCCCGGCGTCCGCACTGAAGCGGGCGGCAGCTCGTGCCGCGAATCCGCCGGGATGTCTAACGAGCATCTCACCCTCGGCTTGGCCCAGGTAGAACTTTGCTCTCCCCACATCCTGCCCGCGCCCCAACCCTGCTCTTCCAGAATTCTCTTCTTTCTCGATGGCCCCATTGTGCACCTGATGCCCAGCCCGGAAATCTGGAGGTTGGCCTTGACTCTGCTCTGCTTTTTGCCACCTCACACCTACTCCATCAGCAAGACCGAGGGCTCTGCTTCCAGAATCTGACAGCTGCTGACCGGGTCTACGGCCGCTGCCCTGTGACCACCACGGGATCATCAGCCTCCGAACTGGCCGCCCGCTTCCTCCCACGCCCCGCGCTCTGCAAAGCAACCAGCTGATCCTCTTAGCACGTAAAGCAGTCGTGTCACCCTGCAGCTGGAAACCTACTAACCGTTTCCCGCCTCACCCATGTCCTCACCACGCTGAGCGGGGCCCCAAAGGGCACAACCCCAAACATGTGTCAGGCCTCACTTTTGTCCCTCTTCCCCGGTCGACCCACTCCAGCCACACTGGGCCCCCTTCTCCTTCAGTGCACCAGCCACACTCCCACCCCAGGGCCTTTGCACTTGCTATTCCCTCTGCCCGAAATAGTCTCCCCCCGATTTCTAGGAGTGGAATCCTTCGCTGCTTTCAGACCTCTGCTCAAATGTTTCCTTCCATGACCGCTCTTGCCAAAATGCATGACCCAGCGCACTCTCTACCCGCTTCCCGGCTTACCTGTCCTCACAGCACTTGCCCTACCTGAGCTCGTGTGACACGTCAGCCTCCAGCAGTGCCGCCGGTAGCGCTCCCTGCGCGGACGGCACGCTCTGTGACCTGCGCCACTCGTGCGGGGACCACTGGCCACAGTGCCCCCTGAGCACTCGAAACGTAGCCACTGTAAGACAGACATTTCATTTTAATTACTTTAAAGTTAAATTGCCCCGTGTGGCTAGTGGTTTCCAAGATGGACAGTGCGGTTCTAGGGTCTCAGTCGCCCCTAAGAGAATATTAGCATTATAAGGGTCAAGACTTGTCTCTTCTGTCCCTGGATATAAGCAGGGCCTAACACATTTTCTGGCACACGTACGAGGTGCTCAAAAAACACTCACGAATGAATGACTCCGTTGTCATTGAATCATATTCTCTCTTTACCTTTCACGTGAACGGGGGACTGAAGCCCAGAGAGGGCGAGCGTTCAGCCAGCCACACACAGCGGATCCTGCCCACTGAATGAACTGGCTCCTCCGCCCTGCTCTGCTCCCCGGTGACTTGCTGGCAGCAGGGAGCTGATTAAAACCCATCAGCCCGATTAACCCTGGAGAGCCGGGGCTGTGTCGCGCCAGGTGGTGGTTGGCACAGGCTGACACCGAGACTGGGGCAGAGGTGCCCCGCGGCTGCCAGGGGCTGCGCATGGAGGACCGGGATCCACGGGGTGCGTGAGTCACAGGAAACTGCTGGAGATGACAGCCGCTGAAAGAAGGACGAAAGCCCAGGAGACGGCCAAGGGATTACTCTTTCATTCAACAAGAGCACGTTATGGCTTTCTGCGAGGCCAGCCTCAGGAATCAGGGGTCAGAGAGAAGTCCAGCTGGGGATTTTAAAGGAAGCAGGAAACCTTGTTCCTGCAGAGCAGGGGGGAGGGGGAGTTCATTCAGTGGAAGCCTTGTTTCCTGCTGGTTGGCAGGAAGTGTGAGCAGGACTGGGCTCCTATTTGGAAAGAGGAAGGTAAGGAGGGGGACCTCGGGGGTCTCTGGCCTGAAAATGCCGTTGGCACGAGCAGTCCGAGCTGCTGAGGTTAGCGTCGCCCTGGTCCTCGGGGAGGGATGAGGGGCGCGGTCCTGAGTGAGTTTGCACCCTTGTCATCGACCTTCTCTAAGCCTCAGTTTTCTCACCTGTGCGCAGAGGAGACAGGAGCCCGCCCCCACCCCACCCCGGTGATGGCAGGCCTCAGCGGGCCAGCGTGCGAGGTGCCCCGCGCAGACTCGGTGCTTAGCGAGCGGTTATTACTCTCACCAAAGTCTCGGGCGCTGTGAGCGACCAGGAGGCCAGAAAAGACCTTTCTGAGCTCCAGACGAACGAACGGGGCCTTGGACATGCAGGGGCGGGAGGAGGGGCGCCAGGCAGAGGGAACAGCCCGGCAGAGGCTCAGAGGCGGGAGCTGAGGGGACTTACTTGGGCCACGCAGCTGGCAGGGCCCATTCTCGCCCCACTCGGGACTCTGACCATGGGAGACCGCCTGTCTGTCCCGCCTCCTCCTCCCTGGGTGCCTGCTCGGGAGTCCCCGGGAGCAGGATGAGGGGAGCAGGGGCAGGAGAGGCAGGATGCGGCCACTTGAGCAAAGGGCAGCGGCAAAGGTCAGAGAAGGCAGGCCGTGGTCTCGGTCATCAGCCTGGACACTTCTGATGACCAAGAGGTGACAATGGCAGCCCCAAGGAGGAGCAGGATGTCCTATATTTCCCCAGCTAGGGTTGCTAGATTTAGCAAGAACAACAGAGAACAGGATGCCCAGTCAAATGTGGATTTCAGATAAAAGAAAATAACTTTCTAGTGTAGGTGTAGAGCCAGGACTTACTTATACTTAAAAATTATTCCTCGTTTGTCTGAAACTGTCTCTGGGCATCTGTATGCAGGGCTAGAACCAGGTTGGCAGTGAAGTTCAAGGCCGAGGGGCCAGCCGCTCCCAGGGCACAGCTTCCCCAGTGTAGCTGCCCCCAATCCCCCCCCCAACCCCCCCCCCGGCCCGCAACAACCTCCCCTCCCCCCCCTGGGGCCAACCCTGCTGCAGGGTAGAACTCACTTGGGGCCTCACCCCCTGACCTGCCAGGGGAGCTCGTGTGCTCCATGCGTGTTTCTCACAGCCCTGCCCCTTTCCTTCATGGCCGGCAGACACCGTCCTGCATGGACACGTGCCACGCTTGGGTTCCCGTCCGCACGTCGGCCCCGGCTCACCATTGTGCCCTGCGTCTGGCCCCAGTCCCGGCGCGAGCAGGTGCGCCGGCCACTTTCTGTTGCATGAATGAGGAAGAACTATTCCAGGAAGCGGGGAGGAGGCAGATAAGAAAGTTCTGAAGCACCCGTGTGTTCACCTCACCCCTCCCGAGAGAAAAAGACCATTACCCGACCACTGGCCCGGCCCGCTGCCGCCACACGGGGCAAGAGCCCACGGCCACAGCCAAGGAGACAGGGTCCCAGCTCTGCACCCCCAGCCATGCGCCCTGGGCAGCCCCCCTGACTGCCCTCTGAGGCCTTATTGCCCCCTAAATAATGCTGACCTCCCTCCCAGCTCTGCCGCACCGTGAGGCTTGTCCCTGGACACCCCAACCCCCCTGAAGGGGACGTCGGCCTCCGCCACCCCCGCCAGGCTGCAGTCTCTGGGCAGCCGCGGGCGGCCAGGACCGTCTGCAGCATCCGTCTCTGTCCCCAGTGGCCCGCAGGGCTGTGCATCCAGTATGCGCCCAGCCGTTACCTGCGGTGTAAACGAGTGAGTAAATAGCACGTCGCCTGAGTTAGCCAGGGACTGGGGGCAGGGAGAGAGCTGGCAACAGAAGGCCACTGGGACCAGGAACGGGGGCTAAAAACGGAAGACGACGGAAATAGGAAATGGGATGGAGCCGCAGGCTCACTTCTCTACGTCGATGCCATCTTGGTCCAAACCCAGGGGGACAGGCTGATCCCAAATTCCGTCTCCCCAGGCTGGTGTTATCATCTGAGTTTGAGCAAATGGCAGAATTAAGGGCTGGGGCTGGGCCTGTTCTATATTAGGCCCTGGCGCACCGGCAGCGCCGGCGAGCGTCTTCTGGGCTCGTGCGCGCAAACCTGATTAAGGTCAGTTTGGGCAGGAACGCCGAGTGCTCCCCCAGATGGCCCAGGTTCTCCCGGGCAGGGGGTGGAGGCAGGGAGGAAGCGGCCGCAGACACACGCACCTCCAGCCGCCAGTTCCCATTAGCTCGCACGGCGTTGCCATGGCCGGCGCGGGGAGGCAGCTGGCAGATGCTCGGCTGCCAGAAGGTGCTGCTGGCGCCTCGGATGGGGGCAGATTACGCCCAGCATTCGGGGAGGCTGGAACGTGTACGGAGAGAAACCGAGGAGGTGGGAACAAGGACATCTTGCAGAGCAGGACGGAGAGGCTGGGAGGTGGCAGAGGCAGGGGGCTGGGGGCACGGTGGTGTGAATTAGAGGAGGGCTTCTCTTTGCAGCCTTAGCTCTTGCTACCTGTGGAGGACATCTGGTGTTTTTGCCTGCTTAGCATTCATTTCCATCCTTCTGGAAATATCATCCTGATTTGCCTTTGAGAAACTACCCTGGCCCCACTCTTAGCCATGCGGTCCAGGCCGGGCTGAAACACCCCTCAGATCCAGGGGTGGACCCAAGGCCCCCCAGCCTGGACTGTGGCCCTAAGCATAGGACTTGGTTCAGGGATGGCTTGGCAGGGAAGCTGGGTCAATCCGAGCCAGCCCGGGGACGTTGGTTGGAATTACTGGGAAAGAGATGTTCTTTCCCAGCTGAGGTTGTAGCAGGTTATAGGGAAGCCCTGGGATGTGGATAAGCTCTATCTCATAGTGAAGCCAGTGCCAGGGAAAGCGGAGCAAGAATGATAGAACAAGAAAGAATGAATTCAGGTGACATAGTTGGAGCTCCTGGATCCAGCTGTACCTGAAGCTCATCTCCTGGACCCTTCTGATGACATGAGCAAAAAAAATCCTTTTGAGCTGAGTTTCTGTCATCTCAACCCAAAGAACTGATTAATTATCTCCAGTTCTGTACTCCAGCCACGTGAGCCTAGTTGTAAGTTCTCAGAACAGATTAGGAGCCACACGCCCCCACCCCCGCCACTTCCAGATTGTTACTCAGGCTGTAACGTCTACCAGGAATGCCATCCCGATCTCGCAGTCTCCTGTTAAAACGCTACGCTGCGCTCCAACGTCACCCACTTCAAGGTGCATCCCAAGATGGTGCTTCCTCCTTCACGTTCCCATAAGGTGGACCTTTGTCGTGGGGCCCAGCGCAGGGGTGCTGAGGCTGCACGATGTGTGTATTGAACCTTCTCT